CCGCCCCCCCGTACCCGTGAGGAAGGCGAAGCCGGCCAGCATTCCCAGCCGCTTCTGCTCCGTCTCCTTGCTGTGCGGGGTGGCCGTGAGCCACACCATGAGCCCCAGGGCGCCCAGGCCAGTCAGCAGGCTGAACTGGGGGGGCAATGGGGGGCGCTGCGTGAGAACAGCCCCCCCAAACACCCCCACGAGGGCCCCCCCGCCACCGCCACCCCTCACCTGGAAGAGCCGGGTCACCGCGTTGACGTAGGCGCCGGCGGCCGCCACGAACATGCAGAGGGCGAAGCTGCCATAGACCCTCTTGAGGTGCTCCTGGGTGGAGGCCGAGCTTGGGGGGAGGCAGAAGCGGGGGGCAGGTGAGACCCGGCCAGTGCCCCCCCCCCAGCCAACCCCCCCCCACGAGCTACTCACATGTGGGAGAACTTGAAGAGGGCGTCCAAGTTGATGCTGCGGTCAAAGACGTTCATGGTGCCGGGCTGGGCCGGGGGCTCCGGGCGGCTCGGCGGGGACGGAGGCTGCGGGAGGGAGACGCGGAGCCGGGCGGATGGCGGCGGCACGGGGCCGTCCCCCCCCGCCCTGCCCGGGGCCGCTGGCGCAACCGTTGCGGGCGGTTGCGCGGCCGGGCGGCCCCGGGGACGCCGGGGTAGCTGGAAAGCGGCTTTGCGCCGGGCGACTATTAGCGCCGCTAATGGCGTCCCCGGGGGGGCTTCCTCCCCCCCCCTCCTCCTCCTCCCCCGGTGCTCCGGGCCCCTGCGCAACAGGAAGCGGCACCGGCGGGGCGGGACGGGGGGGCCCGAGCGGCACCGGGGGGGGGGGGCGGTTAACGTGACCCCCCCGACACCCAACCAGGCCCCGCGGGCCCGACCCGGGCGCTTGGCCGGGGCGGGGGCCGGTTTCGTCACCCCCACCTGGCCCCGCCGCCGTCACGGGGCACCGGAGCCTCGGCGCGACCTTCGCCCCCCCCGGGCCGGGCCGTGACGTCACACCCAGCGCGTGATGTCACCGCCGCGCGGGGGGGGGGGACACCT